ATAATGATGTGGGTAAGAACTACCATGCACATGCTTAGTGATGTGGGTAAGTACCTACCATGCACATGCTTAGTGATGTGGGTAAGAACCCACCATGCACATGCTTAGTGATGTGGGTAAGTACCTACCATGCACATGCTTAGTGATGTGGGTAAGTACCTACCATGCACATGCTTAGTGATGTGGGTAAGAACCCACCATGTACATGCTTAGTGATGTGGGTAAGAACCCACCATGCACATACCTAGTAATGTGGGTAAGAACCCACCGGCATGCACATGCCCAGTGATGTGGGTAAGAACCCACCATGTACATGCTTAGTGATGTGGGTAAGAACCCACCATGCACATACCTAGTAATGTGGGTAAGAACTCACTGGCATACACATGCCCAGTGATTTGGGTAAGAACCCACCAATGCAAATGCCTAGTGATGTGGATAAGAACCTACCATGCAGATGCCTAGTGATGTGGGTAAGAACCCACCAATGCAAATACCTAATGATGTGGGTAAGAACCCACCATGCACATGCTAAGTGATGTGGGCGAGAACCCACCATGCACATACCTAGTAATGTGGGTAAGAACCCATCATGCACATGCCTAGTGATGTGGGTAAGAACCTACCATGTACATGCTTAGTGATGTGGGTGAGAACCCACCATGCACATACCTAGTAATGTGGGTAAGAACCCACCATGCACATGCCCAGTGAAGTGGATAAGAACCCACCATGCACATGCCTAATGATGTGGGTAAGAACCAACCATGCACATGCTTAGTGATGTGGGTAAGAACCCACCATGCACATGCCTAGTGATGTGGGTAAGAACCCACCATGCACATACCTAGTAATGTGGGTAATAACCCACCATGCACATGCCCAGTGAAGTGGATAAGAAACCACCATGCACATGCCTAATTATGTGGGTAAGAACCCACCATGCAAATGCCTAGTGATGTGGGTAAGAACCCATCATGTACATGTTTAGTGATGTGGGTAAGAACCCACCATGTACATGCTTAATTATGTGGATAAGAACCTACCATGCAGATGCCTAGTGATGTGGGTAAGAACCCACCATGTACATGCTTAGTGAAGTGGGTAAGAACCCACCATGCAGATGCTTATTGATGTGGGTGAGAACCCACTATGCACATACCTAGTAATGTGGGTAAGAAACCACCATGCACATGCCTAATTATGTGGGTAAGAACCCACCATGCAAATGCCTAGTGATGTGGGTAAGAACCCACCATGCTCATGGCGAGTGATGTGGGTAAGAACCTACCATGCACATGCTTAGTGATGTGGGTGAGAACCCACCATGCACATACCTAGTAATGTGGGTAAGAACCCACCATGCACATGCCCAGTGAAGTGGATAAGAACCCACCATGCACATGCCTAATGATGTGGGTAAGAACCCACCATGCAAATGCCTAGTGATGTGGGTAAAAACCCACCATGCTCATGGCTAGTGATGTGGGTAAAAACCTACCATGCACATGCCTAATGATGTGGGTAAGAACCCACCATGTAAATGTCTAGTGGTGTTGGTAAGAACCCACCATGCTCATGGCTAGTGATGTGGGTAAGAACCAATTATGCAGATGCCTAGTTATGTGG